CACCATCCCAGACTTCTTCGTGTATGCCTTCACTGATCTAGTCTTTTCAATCTTCTCCACAGGTTTTGTATGCTTCACCTCTTCCTCCAGGTTATTGGCCTTACTTGGTAGCTTTTTGAACGTCTTAATGGTAACTCCCTTAAGCAGGAAAGCTACTGGACAATGAATACACTTAAGCAATACATCAATTGTGTACCCTCCTGCAATTATGGTTCACACTTAATGCTAAGGTTTCTCCACTGTAGAATGTACTTGACCAATTTTTTCATGGGCTTCTGATGCTCCATTATGAGATCCCCGATGGTAACATGATGAGAGCCCCGAAAATACTTTTAACAAATAAATTTTCTAATTATGTAAACGTGTTGATCAATCCGTTGTGCAACTCGACATACCAATCGAATGTGATCCTCAAAAGGCTACTCAAGAATAGTTAAACAAGTAATGCCTCATTACCCCCCCCCATTGCAGTAGTTTGCTCAGAAATGTGCAGCATGTTGTTGAGGGTTCACTGCTCCATCAAAAGTCTTAAAGTTTGGTGGAATAGAACCATTAGGGTATGGGACGTCATTGAATTCCTCCAGATATGGTCTACCTTTTCAAACAGATGTGCTCCCTTTCTATGGGGCTAAGGGCTCCTTCACCAATTGCTTGAATAATTGCTTGATATCACTTTTTTGACACCATCTTCTGAGTTGGTTCTTCCTTGACAATTCGTCTTTATTGGTTGAAGTGACATCTTTCCTTTTTTTCTGTAATATGTACAATCTCCGTGTCGTTTATCTCCGGTGATGTTGCTTACTATATTGAGAGTGTCTGTGCATTGTAGCCATGATAGCCATGGTGGCGGTCATATCCTCCATTCACTTTTCCATGCAGCTAATTTGCTCATCTCTTATCTAAATGACCCTTTTCAAGTCATCCATGACATTCTTCTTAACAAAAGGCGGAGCCTCGAGCATAGATGACATAACTCGGGTCTCAACGATTTTGATAGTAGCAAATTCTTCATCCATATAATCTGTCAAATTGCAGTCTTCGTCATCAAAATCCATTCCTTTTTCTTTGGTGAAGTTTGCGATCTTAGCTTTGAGCTTTCCTAATTTAGCATCAACTTCATTTTATTTAAATTCCTTGAGATCTATCAACATTTCTTGAAGTTCTTTCCATTCTATAGTAATCTCTAGAGTTGCTGTGATGGTGGCGGTCGGAGTATTAGACTTACAATTCATACATGCCCAGCAACGTTAGGTACCCACACTTTTCTCTTTGGCGCTGATGTTTTGGGATGGGGTGTCCCAATAATGACGTCGACGTGCAGAATGAAGTGTACTCCCTAACTTGTTGACCCAATATGGTAGCGAACGATCCTTTTCCGTCACTTCTTCTAAGAGATTCCTCATTAGCAAAGACAGGTAGAACTCTCAAACCCAGGCAAGACTTAGCTGATCTACGCTCTGTGGGTCTCCAACTGTCATTGATAGTATCCATGATGGTGGTAGGGGTATCAACATGGTATCCCAAGTGGAACCTGACAGGAAGACAAAACGGTGGTGTCTTCGGTGATTTCTACGACTGACAAGTTGGCCTATCTTACCTCAAGACTTCCCTCTTCATCTGAGGGTATATGGTGCATCCCATTCTTACAGAAGCTTGATGATGGAACACTGTTCTTTTCCGGTTAACTTCTCAAAAGCCGAACGGACTCTGGTAAGAGGTGTGGGTCGCTCCCCTTCCATCTTGCAATCAAGTGGCGGCAGTAACGTAGTAGGAATCCTATAAAAATTCTTCTCTCTAGTGGAAGTGGACAACGGGTGAAATCTGCAGGAGAGGTGAGGTCTCATGCTCCTCAACTTCTTCCAAATGAGGAATTGTCATGATGAGAGGCAATCTTGCAACCATGGCTTTAACTGCTTTCAGAATTTTTTGGCTGTGATTTCTTCTCTGTGCCCTAGTCAAAGACACACTCCTCGAGCTAGTCATAATCTCAAACACTAATCGGGCAGGCACAAACACATCATCAGAATCTCCCTCATACAAAATTTCCTTTCCTTTGGCAGATGGAATGGTCGGCGAAGTGTGGAGAATCCAGTGGCACTAACCGTGACAACTCTTCTTGGCACATGTACAACAGATTTCACAGATACATGGGTAATGGACTTAACAAAAGCCTTCCTGATTTTATGCCTCTCAATTTCAGAGAAGTTAGACTTATCGTTCAGGTCATAATTGGCGGTGGGTTTAGCTATTTCTGGTGGGGCAGTCTCCATGACCACAAACGCGCTTTTTTGAGGATGATTTCGACTTCGTCGAAACCGATACCAAACCTTATCATTGCTCCCTGGTGGAGTTCAGCATTGTCATGGGGCAAGTTTCTATCAAATGAAAATATCAACGTTGGTGACTCCATCGCAGCTGTTAGTTAAAGAGTTCCGAGAATTAGTAACAGCCTATACTTCACAATTCTAGTGACAACACTAAAATTAGAAAAGGTCTTCTTGTGAACTGGACAATTCTCCTTTATTTTTAATTTTGTTTTGAGTTTATATTAGGTGTACTACTTTTGGATATGTTTTTTTTTTTTTGATATTTTTGTCTTATTGAAAGCATGACTTTCATCTTTTATTGATGTTATGGTTTAAAGAAGTTCACTTGGCTTCGGTGTTTAAACCAAAAGTATGAAAGAAAAGAATGGGTTGAATTTGGTAATAGTAATTGGAGCCTGAGAAACATAGAGTATAAGTGAAATTCAAGACCCAGTGCGAAGCTCACTTCACAACGCATCTTTCTTACACACCTATTGGGGGTCCGACCCCTCACAAACCTCTAAAAATTCTTGAACCCCTCTATTTAAGAATGGTTAAACAGGCGGTCCTGGAATCGAAGAAGAGTTAATCGTGCCTACCCAAAGAAGAAATGAGCAAAGCACGTCAACAGAAGAATGACAATTTGGACCATGAGGGGTATGGACGCAATTCCGATGTATGAAGACAAAAGCCTCCTGATCATAATGGATAGAAGAGCTTAGTCCCCTGTGGAGTTGCCAGAAATTATTAGTCGCTGGTATTCCTCTCTCAAAAATTCTTGCTTTAGATTTAATTTAATATTATATATATATATATATATATATAATTTTTTGGAAATAAAAATTTAATTTTGAAAAATAACATTTTAATTTTAACAAATTAAACTAACAAGATCTCATCTGTTTAATAGTTTAAATAAATGAGTATAACACCACGAGCAATGCACCTATCCCGAAGAACATACGGATTACTAGATAGTGGGGCTCGATTATTAAATTTGCTTTTAGTTTATGATTGTGCAAATTTTAATTGTCTTGTGCATTTCTAGCATGAGATATGCATTGGTGATTGCACTTTAGAGATATCAACTTTCGGTTCTTAAATGGAACTTGTAATATTCAAACTAATAATGCAAGACTTAAAAATTGAAATACAACTCAAACACATTAAAAAGGCATAGTTTTATATAAGGCAAATTTTCATAAATCTCAGTTACTTATTTATAAAGATCAAGAGTTCAATAAGGGTTTAATTGTAAATATCAATCAAGCTTATATGTCAATATAAGTAAGCACGAATCTAAGGGCTAGATAAATAAAAAAAATTATTTCACAATCTTATAAAAAATTATTAGATCAACATTCCATTAATACAAGCTTCATTATCATTTATGATGATCTCTTAAAGTCTTCCACATCATTCAAATATCTAAACTATAACATGAACTTCAACTGAGGGATATCATCCCTTTTGAAGTTTATTACAATATTTAGGAATGTAACTTATGATTCAAATGGCACTGAAGTTAATGGTGATACTTCTGATCACTAATGTTAAAAATGAACATCATTATTAAGTTCAAAATTAAGCTCCATTCCAATTTTTATGGCATCTTATATATATATATATATATATATATATATGTATGTATATATGTATGTATGTATGTATGTATATTATGTTGCCATGTATTGAATGACATTTGTCGGCAATTGTGTTCATTTGCATCTCTTCATACTTGCCATATGGACTAAATCAGCAAAGACTTGTGGCTCGTTCCGATATTGATTTAATATCATAAAAGATATTGATATCAACATGTACATTGTATCATGCATAAATCCAAAATTGATTTCAACGTCCCTTTATATTTTTTATCAGATCAATAATATATAAATGTTCAAGAACACTCCATTTGAAGTGTCTTTTGTAAAAAGAATAATAGATGTACTTTTACGAACAAAAATATAAATATAGGGGTTCATTAAAACCAAATTTACACTCTTTTTTTATTAATATTTAAATCACAAACATGCTATTTTTATTTTTAGTTAAATATTAAATTAATGGTTTTGCGTTGGGTCCTAACAATCACCAGCGGGGCAATGATGGCAACTAATGAATCGATGATTGCCAACAGCAATGACTAACCGCCTGTCCATGACTAATGCTGAAAATTATTTTAAACAAAACATGAAACAGTTTAAATTTATTTTTAAGCACTTTTAGATTTAACTATATATTTAAAAAAAAATTAAGAAAAACTAAAAGAAACATGAAACAGTTTAAATTTATTTTTAAGCACTTTTAAATTTAACTATATATTTAAAAAAACAAAATTAAGAAGTACTAAAAGAAGTCAAATTAAACAAAAATATGTTTTAAAAATCAAAATGTAAAGTTAAAAGTAAAAATGGTACTGACAAAGACTTGATCTCATTTTTATGCCAATGCTTCCAAGTATACAAGTACAAACATAATGTTTTGAGTTTATACAAATATTTCGATACTCAACTACAAATAACTGATAGTTTATTTAAAGCAATACATTTTCTATCTACACTGTAACTGTATTAATTATATTGTTTTAAAGAAGTTAAACATTAAAAAGCTATAATTTGATGGTTGAACTCCACTGGCAAAACATTAATACCTTTATGACTAGCACTAACAAAATCACACATCATATTGTTAATTATCAAAGAAGAGCCTGTAAACTTTTATTTCAACAAAATCCGAACATGAAGTTACAATTACTGAAGTGGCAGCGGTCACATAATGAAGGTAACGGCACACCAAAACGTCAATAATCAATGGAGTCAAACTGCCAACATTAAGAATGAAAGACGACTAATATGATACAGATACTCATCTTTTCCAGCAAGAGCTTACACAGATAATAACAACAGATAAAATGCAATCTAGAATGAACAACAGCTTCCAAATCTGCGAACTCCTTCATCAGCATCACTGGTTTCTCCCTCCAAGGTTACTGCTTTACCATTCCCCAGTAACAGGTTCTCCTGCTTCTTGTTCTCCTGTGATTGAAACACCTTCCTACTGAGAATGTCATAGATTTCCTTCACAACTGTCTGAAACGCAGCTGTGACATTTGAAGAATCCAATGCTGATGTCTCCATGAAGAAGAGACCCTCCACCTCTGCCAAAGCTTTGCCTTCCTCCACGCTAACCTCCCTTGATTCCTTGAGATCTGACTTGTTGCCAACCAAGATGGTGACCACATTCATGTCAGAGTAGGCTGTTTTATCAGAAAAAAATGTATAAATGAATGAGTGAGAACTGAGAATGTATTTCTATATCAGCTAGCAGCAAGATCAGGCTTTACTGTTTAGTTCATTTAGCCAACGGCCAACATTTTCAAATGTCTGGCGCCTGCTGATATCATAAACGATTAGAGCCCCCACTGCTCCACGGTAGTATGCAGAAGTTACAGCCCTGAATCTCTCCTGGCCAGCAGTATCCCATATCTGAGCTTTAATTTCCTTGCCATCGATTACCATCTTCTGAGTTTGGAATTCAACTCCAATGGTAGATTTTGAGTTCGAGTAGAACTCATCCCGAGCAAATCTAGCGAGCAGGTTTGATTTCCCAACAGCAGAGTCTCCGACAAGCACAATTTTGAAAAGATAATCCTGAGTATGTTCCTCCTCAACATAAAAAGCCATACTTTTTAATTGTTTTCAATGCAACCTCGGTTTTAACTAGACCACACCTGCCAGAGAGGAGAAAAATAGGAAATAAATCTAACTGAATTAGAAAGAAAGTTGCAACAAGAAATATGAAAATAACTAGAACTGTCTGAATGATTTAAGAAAAATATCTCAACAATAATTAACTGTTGCATGGCACAACATTGCCAAAATAAAAGTAAATTTAGCCCATAATTGCTAGCTAAACTTTGAATCCCTTCCACTGTCATTCCAAAAAAAACTATATCAATTATTCATACATTAACAATGCAGACTGTAAACATTTCTTTTCCAGATTATCCGAGGTGTCCCACATCCATGAGGCTTCCATCAGTGTAGACTACAGAGAGGCTAACAACATGCGCAGATTTTCTCTTTTGTTAAAGGAAGGATGTTTCTGTTATTTCATCAGTTAATACAACAAATAATAATTGAGAAAATTTAAGCATTATTCTGATCCCAGAATTTAAGTGATCGACCGTTAAAAAAAAGGACTCCTCAATTAATTTGAATAAGATTATAACATCATAATAGGACATAAATGTGATTTATTTGCTCTGATTCTTCATAAAATAATAAGCATCTACACCATAACACTTGAAATCCTTGGCATGACTTGAATAAAAAGTACGAATATAGGGAAGGTCGGCTTATATAAATATGCTCAATAATCAAAATCAAGACATAGGTAACAAAATGGAACCTTACTCCGAAGTTTGGAAACTAACAAACATGTTTCTTCAAGAATAATCAGAAAACTTTGCTAACAAAGATTGAAGGAAACATTTAAACTCATAGCATCTTCTCTTGCAAGTGAGAAACAAATGTCTAATAGGCATAATTAAGTATATCAAGAAAAATAAATTTAATAAGGACTAAAGATAAGTAGTTGATATCCTAATTGAGATGTTTGTGCATGCATAACAATAGCAAGGGAAACATGATAGGCAGCGAGATATAATCAAATTAAAAATGCTAACAAGTAGATGAGCAGTCTAAGGATAAGATGGATTCTGAATCCATGCATATGATTTAGATGCAGTCGAATTAACACAACATTTTACAACAAAGGATAAAAAAATAAACAAATCCAAACAGTTGGGTCCATAACAAAAATAATAATTATAATCATTAGTTTTCGTTTTTGCAGATATTTCTTTTTATTATTTCATATGAATTTAGCGGGACTAATTTGATTTACGGTAGAATTATTGTAACCTGCCTAAATCAAATCATGTATCATGTCATATATTGAGTTGATTGAATAAGATAAGATGTGAGCCATTATTTAAATCTTGTATGTGGATTTAAACCTAAATACAATCCCCCTATCTCATCCATCTTCATTCTCTCCTGCCTCACCGTCTCTCTCTCTTAGAGCCTATAATGTTGCATCAACCAGCTAACTCCTATTTCTATCCAATATCTAAATATATCCAAGAGGATGGTTGAACTTTAACGTTTGCAACTTCCCACACAGCACCTTGGGTCACAGTCACTCCCATGCCCTCATCTCTCCAATCAACCAGCTAACTCCTATTTCTATCCAATATCTAAATATATCCAAGAGGATGGTTGAACTTTAACGTTTGCAACTTCCCACACAGCACCTTGGGTCACAGTCACTCCCATGCCCTCATCTCGCTCCAATACTTAGCATTTTGTGATGTGCTTTATATGCCATCATATTGTGATTACGAATGCACAAACCTCTAAAATTTCCACTTTTTTTCTGAACCGAGAACAAGCTTTTGCCTCTACAACTTTGTGAATAGATTCCACCTTCTGTCTCTCCTCACTGGTTGAAGCATGAAAGAAAATATGGCTGATATATTGGCATATTGACAGATTTATCTGCTGGATAACTTGATGAATAACTAGCAACCTGACAGCATTGTCCCCATTTCTGCTCGCCCTAGTTAACCTGACAGCGTTGTCCCCACTTCTGCTCGCCCTAGTTGCTCCATCCCTCTCACTCGCAATTTCAATTGTAGACCTCCATTGTGTTGATTCGGCCAAGTAACATATTTGTCAACACCTTTCCTCTCTACATCTGAGATCAAAGCAAGCAACTGACCGCCGGGAAGCCTCTATTTAACCCAACAAGTCTCTCCCTATCATCTCGCTTTTCATCAAGGTATAATTTTTTATTTGGTTCAGATAATTAGATTTTGTAATTCCCATAAAGTTTGTGTTTATTTAATTATTTTTGTATTATTTTCAATAATTTTCATATTTTAGATTTATTTGTTAAACTAAAGTATGCAGGGTTCAGATTTATTTATTTATATGTGATAGGCTCATATTATTAGTCTTCAAAGATATAAGATACATTACTTCCAATTTTCTTGTCAAAGCATGTGTTACTAATATCAAAATTCAAATTCACAACTTTTCGGCAGTGATTTTAAGCTATTTAATCTCATTTCCTAATTTCCATTAAATTTCAAATTCATAATTTTTTTGTGAGTGATTGCAACCCATGCAGTTCTAAATCTCAACAAGAAATACTTTTGGTTAATAATTCAAACATTAGGATAAGTTTGCAGTTTGTGTATTGTTTATTTGCTTTTCTTTTTTGACACCCTGGCAGTTTACTGACATACATAAAATGCAACTATATATTTGCATGAATGTATTTACAATGACAAAAGTTTGTTGGGAACAAATAGCCGATTAAGTTTAAGTGATTGTCAGCATCATCATTAGACCTTTGAACGAGAAAGTTTCATCTATTTCATTACATACTAAGATGGTGATAAAGGATGTTACTCCGACCTAGGCAATGATGCCTTCAGATGTTATTCTTGTTCAATTGACCTTTCAATAAAAATAAAAGGAATCAACTTTAAAAAATGAAAATAAACGGTTGCTCATTCTAACACTCATTATATGGGCTGATTTACAGCATCATAGTTTCCATTGTCATAGCTCCATGTGATCCTTTCCGAGATTGCTAATCAAATCCAGTGACAATGAATGATGATATGCATAACTAAAGCCTCAAATCCTTTCACAAGTTTATAGTCTACCTACGCTATCCTTCCAGGGCACACAGTAGTACTCGAGTGATACATGGTACAATGCATGCCCTTTAATGTCGGAAAGTCTAAGTTTCCAGTGCAAGATTTGAAACAAAATGGCGGTACTTCAGAAGCCTTCATTGTTATAGCTTATCAAGTCCAATGAAGGAAATCACATGAAACAGACCTTCATAATTGATGCATGTCCATATTCACACAATTCCCTTAAAATGGAACTTCCTAAAGTAGTTGTTTTTTAAATATATAGGAATTTGGAAGAGCAAAGAGGCTGAAGGTACCACATTGTTAGGACGAAAAGAAAAATAAAATTGTAACTTGTTTGAATTAAGGTGATATGGAATAAAACATTTATTATACTATATGATTTTTTTAAAATCATCATTATTTTTAACTTATATTATCTTTTTTTACATGATGCTTGAAGTGGATTTTCATTGAGTATGGAAACTATATTCACCATTTGATGAAGCAATGAAATTTATGCTATTGCTCTGATAGCAAATAATGCATTTTCTTCTTAAAATTTGTTCAAAGCTAATTCAAGAAATCTAATAAATTAAAAATGTGTAAATTACTCATTAATTATTTAAGAGCTTAATTTTAGCAGGGGCATCCCAATAAAAATAAATAAATAAATAAAAATTGGTGGCATAAATGAAATTTATCAGACGGAAAAGTGCTTGGATTTTGGTCAAAATAAGTAATTTTGCCAAAGGAGAACAAACTGAAAAGAAAAAAATAGGGTAGAACCAATTAGGAGGATAAAAAAAGGAGGATATCCCATTAAGGAAGTGACCAAGTTTTTTCAATTGCCAATAAAAATTTGCTACAAATGAGCTCAATTTTAGGACCACCCTCCATAAAAAGAGGTGTCGAAAGCTAAACGTACCACTCAATCTATTCTATTTTATTACAATTGTATTATTGCTAAATTATTAATAAGAATTTAATGGATATGATCTATAAAGTTTGTGATATGAAGTGGATGATTGAGCTCATATGGAAGGCACTGCTAATTCTTTTAAGAAAATTCCTCCAATATTTTGTGAATTTTTGCCAAAAGTTGCTATAGAAGAATTTTATCTTGGATTTTCAAATGAAATTTTGGTAAAAGGAATTTTCAACTGAAATGTTTGGCAGAGGTTATGATGGACTTTTCAACGGATAAATCACTGCATCCTCAGAAATTCATATCAGACTGATTTTAGCAAATATGTCACAAAATTATGAGTCATCAAAAGCTTTCTAACAGGGTTTTTACCAATGGATCAAATTCCATTCAAATTTGCCAAAAATATGATATCCAATAAATTTCCTTAATTTTTCATTAGATTTTCTGCAAAAAGAATAATTGTTTTCCTCTAATGCTAGTCTCAATCACTAGCTTAAACAGTAATAACTACATGCCTTCCTTTCCTAGTTTATTGATCTTTGCAAATCAAGCTTGCCAATTGTAAATAGCACACCATAGTATTGCATGAAGCCATTGCGCATAGCACATGGTATAGTGAACATCATTTTAAACATGATGCCAAAGTGTTAAAATAATTATAAATAAAAATGAAAAGCTATCAAATTAAAAGATAAACCGTCATGATAAAAAAAAAACAGTAAAATTGATGCTTAAATTTTAATTGCTCGATACCTGAACCATTTAATGTTCCATCAATGATATCTCTCTACAATGAATATTGTCATCAATGCTCTTCAAAACATACTTGTAATCAATTTCTACAAGCATTATTGTGTCATTAATTATATTATCAAGAATTAGTAGCTTGTTGTATCTTCCTTTGTGTTATCTAATAATGTTTACATTGGTATAGCATGATTGAAACAAAAACATCTATATCGAATTAATGTTTACATTGGTATAGCATGATTGAAACAAAATTTACATCTATATCGAACATAAAAGAAAATTTAATAGCATTGTTATTTTCCTTCTGAGGTTTCTTTAGTTTAAATTATAAAGGAGT